CAAATGAGATGTATACATGCTGTTAAATATCAATACCTTCAAATAATAATCTTCCTATAATCAATCATCCCTCTAATTTTCAAGGATTCAAGTGATAAAATATAAATCAAGAGCTACAAATTGAACATGAGACATAGAGTTTAACTCCATACAAAATAAATCTTTAAGTCTACAAACTATTTGATAAATATTATCCAATGTATGCATGTGCACATACATATACAAGGCACATATACTGTAGATCATTTGACAAAATTTTTATATAACATATTTTATAAAAACATTGTGTTAGTGTAGGAATTTAGCTTATTAGGTGATGTGGTGGATTGTATAGAATGGATGGACGTAGTTTATAGTGCATAGATAAAAAAAGGTTATGTAAAAGGGAAAATGAAAGAATGATTAGTCAATTGGAACCATAGTATATGAATTTAATTAAATTAGTTATGGAATCTGTAAGAGCTAAGAAACTAACTAAATATTATTATGATTTATAATTAATTTAATTTAATGTAATTTAAGACTCTATGAACGAGATTTTGATATAAATCAAATAATTAAAATTATAATTATCAAATTTGAGAGGCGTAAAAGGGACAATCAAAAGTTTTGGCACCTCAATACTCTAGTATAGACTTGTATAGATGAATTAATAACTCTTTTAAGTTATTCAAAATTAGTATAGAACTTAAACTACAAAATGTAGATGGGTGAAAAACATGAATGCATGTAGCGATAAGAATTATATGGCATGAAATTCTAAACGAATATTGGATAATCAAATGAATAAAATATGCATCTACTTAAATTCTATTTGTTTAAGGTTTGAATAATAAAAATTATTTACCTATTATCAGACTCTCTTTAAAAGTATGAGTTCGGGGAAATCTTTCTATGGCCAATATCACCCTTAGGTTTTTTTGAATATTACATTGTTATCCTAATCTATTCTAATTATCTTATCTTCTTTAAATTGGTAACCAAATGATTTATTTTATTCATAATGAGACTTAACATGTTATTGAATAAAATAGATACTTTTCGTATAATTCAAATCCTTTACTTATTTTAGTTCGCAGAGAAATCAAAAAAACATATGCTAGTCAGCATCCAAAATTTTTTTGACTTTGTAAAAAATATTCTCCAAGTTTTTTAAATTTCAAAAACACCCCTACAAATTCAAAATTTTATTAAAGCATCTTGAAAATTATAAATTTTACTTATCTAAATTCAGTGAGAAATCTAAAAAAGATATACTAACTAGAAACTATAAGTTTTTTGAGTTTGGAGAAAATATTTTGTAACTTCTAAAAATTATAAGAACACCCCTAAAAATTTAAAAGTTATAAAAAAGACCTTGAAAATGTCAAACTTATAAACATACTAAAAATCTACAAATAACACAAACAACCCCCAAAATTTTATGAAATTTGTAATACACACTCTGAACTTTTTATAAATTACAACATAAAACCCTCAAAATTATAAAATTTATAAAAATCCTGACAATTTCTGACCCAACAGTACATTAAAAATATTGGAATAAATATTCTCTACATAATTTATAATTTATAGAAAACACCCTTAAAGTTTTAAAAATTATAAACAAATATTTTAAAATCAAAATTTACAAAATACACCCTAAAAATTTTAAATTTATTAGTAAATTAAAAGCATAGGAAGTATTAATAGTCTATAAATAATTTATAATCTGTAGAAAATGCCTATACGTTTAAAAAAATACAAAAAGTTATTTTAAATTCATAATTTAAAAAAAAACTCCACGAGAATTTTTAACCTTTAAACATTAAAATGAATATGTAAAATTAGTAACAACCTCTAGAAAATTAAAATTTTGCAAAAAATATCATATACCTTTTAAAAGTGTAGGTTTAGAAAAAACTTTTCGTGATCAATATTACCCATAACTTTTTTAAAAAGAACATAAATAATTAAAAATCTATTAAATTTAAAATTTATAAAAAAACTCTTAAAGTTTAGTATATTGCAAATTACCCCTCCAAAGTTTGAAAATTTTCAATGATTTTTTTTGTAATTCTTTGATTTCAATGTAATGTTTAATAATTTTGTGTATTTGTAAATTACAAATTTTAAAGTCTTTTTACACTTTTTAAAACTTTTGAGGGTGTTTATTTTGTACTTTTCTAAATTTTTATTATGTTTTTAGTGTAATGCACATATACATCAATTAATGATGATATTAAAAAATAAGTTATTCTTAAGATTATTAGATCATAGTTAAATGTGCACATCACTATTTCTAGGCAGTATAGTTTATATATGTAAAATTTTTTAGACAATCTATGTAGTGGTTAAAAAGATATTGACTTTAATGTACTATTTTTCATAAATTATATTTAATGTGAACCCACCATATAATTTTAATTGTGATCATTATAATTTTAATATGTTTGATTGGTTGACTATTTACGTATATAAACCATATATTACTTTACTTTCTCACATGAGCTAATATTTGTTGCTTAATAATTTAAATTATTACTTTTAAATTTAATATAAAGAGGAGCTCTAATAACATTTATTTATTTACCTACAACATAATACAATTTCAATTCTTTTTTTTGCTGAAGATTTATTCCATAGTTATACGTATAACTAAAATAATAATGATTTATGCTTAAATTAGGATGATTGTAGTTGGTCATGACTCACTATGAATTTTTTATGATAATATATACCTTATTTTCTATAACTATTTGCACTGCCCATTTTAATTTTATAAATTAGTTTTAATTTGACATATTAAATTAATTTTTCTTTGTAAAATTTCTTCTTTGACTTTTAGACTGTGTAACTATATCACCATTCTAGCATAGAAAGAACCCCACTCTAAATGACTTCAAGCAATGTTTGAGTTGCATTAAAGTATATACTATTGCTACTATGTGTATATGTTTTTTAAGAAAATCATGTCAGCACTTTTTAGATAGAAGAGAATATTCTAACCTCTAATATTATAAAAATTAAATATAACCAATTAAATGATTAGCAAATGAGAACTTACTCCAGGAAAGTGTGAATAATAAGATAAAGAGGAAAGGTAATGACATTGCCAACTGTACTACAAATAACAAACTACAATGTAAAGTTAATCTATTTTGTGGAGCACAACTACTGGCTATAAGCATCAAAGTTTCCATATATATACTTTATAATTTATTAAAAAGGGTCATATAATCTTATATAATTAAAATTGATTTAATATTGAATAGTAATATCATTGTAATAATATTATTATTAAAAAAATTTCTTCATGAATCGATATGCTCTTTACGATATCTAAGCTATGCACTCTAAATTCTTGTGTCTTTTATAGAGCTAAATAAATTAAATACGAACCTCTAACATGTTGCTCTCAGAACAGCAAAATTCACTTAGGAGATATGGATATTCTACATGGGTTACGTATCCTATATACAATATATTTGTCCCAGGCAAGTGAATTATAATAGCATTTTTTATTGACATTGTTTCGGTGTAGGATTTGATAGGGACCTTGCATCCAAGAATTTTTTTTTATCTTTAGAGCACATGACGAAATATACCATAATCTTTCAGTTCTAATATTGTAAGAAAATAATTCTTCATACTTTTAGTTTTACTTCTATGATACAGAGAATGAGTTATAAAATTGAATGAGAATATTAGATAATATAAATACGAGCGAAACATCAACTAAAAGTTAAAATGAATATGAGTCAAACCACAACTAAAAGTTTAATGGACATATTGGAAGTAAATTCATATGCAAAATTCTTTTGCGAATTGAATGATCACCCATCTTTTGAAGATTTCAAGATATTAAAAAATAAAGATGTTGTACTAAATTAATATGTTTATAACTCACAAATAGTAGATCACGTAGCCACAGTCCGGGTTGAAGGAAACAATGGTAATATTTTATTTGAGAGAGAGATTATTGAGTTGATGATCCATCTTACAAAAAACTTTAATTTTTTTTATTTTTATCAATTTAAATAATCATGATATTCAACCACGTGCATTACACGTGTATCTCAACTCATGATATTCAGTCTTGTGCATTGCACGTGCATCTCAACTAGTATTAAATAAATTGCCGAGTTGAATATGATTGAATAGTTAAAAAGAACAATTAGTTGGTCATTTTCGCCTCTAGTCTAATGCTGCGCCTAAGTCCTTTCAAAATCGATTAATTATATTTCCTTTAAAAATTTAAAACCCTCTCTTTTGCTTCTCGTAGCCTGGGTCAGCGAAATAACTGAAAACAGTCGCTGGCTTCATAATGGGCCGTCGGGCCTTTGTAACCTTTTGACGGCTAATCGTCATTTTGAGTCCATAGTCAAGCCTAATCTGGAATTATCTATGACCTTTATTCCGATATAATATTCAAATCAAAGGTCCACAATTTTAAGATTCTCCACATCAGATGGTCAAGCCACCAATACGAGGGAGGAAAAACAATCAAGCTTACCAACAAAAGAAGAACTAGGATTTTAAAAACACACAACAATTCCGGAATATCCTGTTAAAATGATTAATTTTTCAAAAATATCTAGACTATATTCTCAGTCAAGAAAATACATTTAAAACAAGCAATGTTAAAGATATGCTATTCTAGATTTAAAGACGAGGGTTTAATTATTTTAACAATATTAACCATCTCCTACCCGCCGCAGGCGATCCGAGCAGTCGGAGAGTCTCCTCGACATGGCTCCGACGGTCTTGGGTTCGATCCCGAACCGGGTTATAATAAAAATAGCATTCTGATGTTATCAGGATTAATCGTGTTTTAAGATATTTTAACACAATATTTGTTCATATTCTTTAATTTATGACGGGTTTAGATAGTTTTAACGAGCATCTATTATCAACCCAAAAGGCTGTAAGAGTCATCCGGCCCAGTCTAAAAGCCCAGCCCAATATCACCCCCTCCCCCCTCCTCTCTCTCTCTCCGTCTCCCTGTAGCAAAAGCGAAAGAGTTCCCTTGTCAAATTTCACACCCTTTTCTTCTCTTTTTCTCTCTCTCTCTCTCTCTCTCTCTCTCTCTCCTAATTTCCATTGCAGTTTCTCTCTCTACTTCCCTCCACGCTCACGAAATCCTAACCGCCTCCCTCTCTCTTTCTCTCTCTACAACTCCAACTGAAATAATCAAAATATATTTACAGATAAAAGAGAGAAAAAAAAAACCCCCACAATCATCGCGGATTTTTATTTTTTTTATTTAATCTCTCTCTCTCTCTCTCTCTAAAAATTTCCGTTTCCTCTCCCTTTTGATAAAATACAGAAACGCCCCTGCCCTTTATTTGTCTCTCTGTTTAAAATAATATCCATCAAAAACAAGGGGAAAAAAAACAACAACCAGGATTAGGGTTTTTTTTTTTTGCCTCCTCTCTCGCTTCGATCAGTCCTGAACTCATCTAGGGTTTTCGATTTTGATTCTAGGGTTTGGGTTGGTGCCGGGACGAATGCCCCTTAGTTAGGGTTTGGTTCCTTCTAGGGTTTGGATTTGGCGACGATGAGGGTTCGTTGAGGTGCCGTCTCCATTGTTTGTTTGGTTGGGATTCGTTATGGATTCGTAGAGACGGTTGGACTCTAATTGTTGGTGAATTTTTTTTTTTTGCGAGAATTTTGGAGGGTTTTGTGAAGACGGAGTTGGGTTAATTTTGGTCTTCTGAAGGGGCTTTTAGGGTTCCGTCTTGGCCTCGGAATCTTTTAGGGTTCTGGGTTTTGTTTTGTTTTGTACAGAAATAGTAGAGGAGAAGCACTCGATTGAGGTATAGAAGGAAGTTTTTTTTAGGGGCTTTTTTTTTGGTAGCGCAGATAATGCTTTTCTGTGCTTGTTATGGATCGAGGTGAGCCGACTTTAGCTCCAGAGTGGTTGAAAGCAACAAATTCTTCTTCACATTCAGGTATAATTGTTCCTGTTCTTCTTGCTGTTTTTAATTTGATCATTTGTAGTTTTATTACTATTTTAATCCGGGGGAGAGAAATAGCTATATTGATGATAATTTCAATTTCGTAGATTGAATGTGTGTATAATTTTAAGCTTATAACAAAATCCATTTAACTCTGAATTATATCTGTCTTTCATTTTATAACTCCACTCATCTATACCTTGAGTAGCACTTTTTCACCATCCAACGATTTTAGATGCACTTACCACCACGTGCTACTTATCCTTCGAAGACTGAGAATGCTAATAACTGAATTGAGGGGGGTGATATTGAAGGTGTAGACAAGGCTGGTTATGTGCAATTTATCCTTCCATTGCTGAACATAGTGATTGGAGTTCGTTATGAATTTCACATTAAGCAGTTATTTATTTTTATCTTTGTATTGATCACAGATGAAAATAGTTCGGGGGCCTTTTCAAGAAATAGAATCAATAGATTGGCAGTGAGTGTTTCTGAACATGATGCTCCTCGTGCATCATCGTCATCAACATCCTTCAGGAGGATTGCCAACACCAATGGCTCTATGGGCCAAGAAAAGGATAGCTATGCACATTCGCGGGCTTATAGTAGTTTTGGTAGGAGTCGTGATAGGGATAGAGATAGGGACAGAGATAGACATAGGGACCGACAAAAGGATAGTTTATTAGGTAATGGTTATTGTGACTATGCTGATTCATTAATGACAAGAAGAAGTGAGACAAAAAGGACTGAGATAGACTCTTTGAGGAGATCCAAGTCTGTGGTTTCAGGTCGGAAGTTTGAGTCGATGTCCAGAAGATCAGGGAGTGATTCAATCAGTGCTCTTTCTGCTGGTAGTTTAAGTGGTTCTCTTAGTAAGGTTTCCTTTGATAGAGACTTTCCATCTCTTGGAGCTGAAGAGAAGCATGAACTTGTGCGGGTGCCTTCTCCTGGCATCAGCTCAGCTATAAACAGTCTTCATATAAGTTCTCCAACTATTATTGGTGCTGATCGCTGGACGTCAGCTTTGGCAGAAGCTCCTGCTGTTGGCATAAGCAATGGACTGCAGACTGCTGCGAGTATGACATCTACTGGGTCCAACACCACGGGAGGATTAAGCATGGCTGAGACATTGGCTCAAGCACCATCAAAGGCTCGTAGTGCACCGCTGGTAATGTATTGAAAGTATTACTTCTTGTATTATATAGTAGGAATCGTTGGTTTACACTAATTTTTATTTTACTATTTTTCTAGTTATCCAACGAGAATGAAAGGCGTAAGGAGCTGACTCTTATGCAATACAACAAGCTGATACCGGTAACATCTTCAAGATATATGACTTACTCAGTTCACACAATTTCCTTTGAAAATAGCATGCATGATTTCCATGTACTTGGTTAACGGTTGTCCTTTCCTTATCTTTTCGTTGCGGTTACTATTGAGTGTTAGATGATATATGCAACTATTGGCTGGTGAATGATTTCTTAGACATGTTTCATCTATATTTCCATTTATTTTAAGTTAATTTTTAAAAAATAAATGATGCATATATCAATCAGCTCTTAGAAAAACTACGATTAAATGGTTAGATGTAAGATATAACACAACTACAGAAGTTTCGATTAGGGGCCATATGGATTTGCTATAGTTATGCTTTTGAATGTTTCTATATAACTTTCTAGGATGGTATAATTTTTGTTCATCACTGAATCTTTGCAATTGCTCTTCTTGTTGGTTCTATTGTTTGTTCATTGTTAGTCTAATCTGCATGCAACTTGCTTCATAATCTATATTCTTACACGGATATCGTATTGTCAAATGGCATATATTTTTTTGCTAATCAAGTGGAATAACCTTTATCTTAAGATGCATTTACTAGAGTGCTGACAGGAAAGGCTAGTGCTGGGATAGGGAAGTGTCTTTTAGATGAATTTACCAATTTGAGTTTAGAGGATTTGAATGCCGGTGTAGTAGTATTAGCCAAAAAGAACTACAGGAAGTTAGGGAAATTAACCCTGTTTGGTCTTAATGTCATTTATGGCAAAGAGTGATGGAATCATTATTTTACCTATGGAGCGTTCACTATAATTACATGGTCATTAGTCTGCTTATGGGTAGTTTAATAAGTGTTTAGTGTTTTTGGCTCTAATGTTATCTTTTGGGTGGTTCTGATGAGCATCTTGGAGAAGATAAAAACTTGGATTTTGTGTATGCAATAGAGCAAATTTGAGCTGTTATGTTATGATATCTACTCAGGGTTCCTTTCTTTTTTCCTTCACTGTTTTGTGATGGTTCTTTTTGTAATCAGTACATTTAAAATTAACGTGATGACACCAACAAGCATCAGATAGGTTGGGGTTTGGGATGTATGCCCTCAACTGCATCATGTATCTATTCACCATGAAGATACGTTATGCAGAAATCAAGAGAAGGTATTTCTAGACAAGTCCGGGAATTCTGTAGTTAAAAAGCTTAGAGATGTCAAGTACAAAAGTTCTGTAAATAGCATTACATAACCTAGTGAAGGTTAGCTTTGCTTTTATCATCTTATTATTATTATTGTTGGGGACAGGTGAGGCCTGAAACCCAACTCGCAAGGCACACACACATCTACACAGTGATCTTAGTAATTTGTATAGGGTAATGGGAAATCTTACCTGTATAATGAATCTTAATGTGTACTACCGAAGCATGTGATGTGTGTGCATACAAATGTTTCAAGCAGTGGCAACTGCACAGGATTGCACACGCGCACACAAAGCTTACAAGGAAACTGGAAGTCTTCTTTGACTTGTAATGTAGATGTTATGAAATTTTGCTAGAAATATTTACATGTTTGATATATTGGGATATTGTTTTTCGTGTAACCATGTCGGGTGTACTCATGTTCTTAAAGCTGACGAATATGGTATTTGCTTGTTGGGTCAGATTTAAACATTTAGAGTAAGGATGGCACCAACAGGCAGTCATAAAGGAGCTGGAAATCTCATCTGACCTGCATGTGTTTTGATCTGTGCATGTGTTTTTGGAGCTATATGATTTGATATGTTGACACCCTTCTGTATACCATCCTCTCCATAGGTCCTAAGACATTAAAATAGATGTTTAGTATTTTCGGAATTGAAATTAAATAAATGTATAATGCAAAATATTAGAATTGCATTTATGTGGAAACAAAGTTCAGAGCTCCCTTGTGATGCAAGGGCTTGAAAGCTTTCCCTATAGAGTATTGAATAGGGATGCGCTCGGTCCGGATACGGCTCGGATATGATGCTTACCATATCCATATCAACTTACCCATCTCGGATACGTATACGGATACGGATATACGTCGGTAAGAAAAATTCATATCCATATTCGCCAAAATCAGATTCGTTACGGATATAGATGCGGATATATAAACGAATATGCATGCCGTTACAAAAAGGATATGAGAAAACTAGATAGTATTGAGAAAAATATAGTTCATGTGATACAAAAGAGTTCGTTAATATGTTCATTATGATTGAAAAGCTAAGATTTCAAAGATACAAATTCATCTGAAAACATTACATTATGTTTTCATAATCTTAATATGCCCAGACGCTAGAGAGTTCATCCTGTGCTTAACAGATAGGAATAAATGCCAATTCCTGATGTAAGCTTATTGTTGATAAGGATATGGATCCCCTTCATTTGTTGCCATGGTAGTTGTCCTTGATTCATGTCGTTAATCACATTTATTTTACTTCTAGGCATTTTGTTTTCTACAATCCACAAATATAACATACCAATTAGAATCTAGATGAATGAAGCCATCTGGTTGATCTCTTCTGTTCTCTTGATCTTTCCTTTTACATCCATCTCTGCAGATATTTGACTTAGTTTTATGCTCAGTTAGCTACCTAATCCAACTTTCCTTTTTGTCCTGGCTTGTGATAGGCATTGAAAGAACTAGATATTAAGCACAATAGTAGCAGAGTTGAGGCCTCATGTATACTTTGCAGTATACCACCTAGAAATTTAGAATTCCAACTTTTTAAGTGATAAAAGAGGCAAGGAAGTATTACAATATAAGATGTGTCGATTTCATGTGTCTGACTTAGGCACAAGTTCGTAATAAAAGTTTTACAACAGGGTAATTAGAGATTGGGCTTAAGGCTGAATTATGTAATGATCTGATTACAGTGGAAAATTTTAACTGAATAAATGCTGGATTATTTATATTTGATGGTGTACGATGACGTAAGCATGTATCAATATTTAACTGATAAAATTACAAACTTCTAGAATATTTCCTGTGATAGAAAAGAAACCATTGACTATAAACACTGGCTAATTTGTCCGCACTGAGCCTTTCAATTATCAGCCATTCTTCTGGGGCATTTTCAACCTTTTCCCATACACCATCAAAAGAGAATATTGAATTCGGAAGAAATATTTTGTATAATATGATTTTGGAGAAAATGGATTTCTATGTAGAAGCATTTATGTGAATTATCATCCTGGTAGACTATGTGAAGTATGTCTATTGCACTTAATCTTCACTTAGACTACCCCGAAGATACAAAAGGAAGGGTCAATACAGTTTATGCATATTTCCACTTCTAACAGAATACAGTTATGAATCAATTTTTCATTTCTAATGAGGGTACAGGTCCATACCTGCTATCCAAACCTTGTCCTGTTGATGCTGAGTTAATTATACCGTGGCATTCTACTTATGAAGCATACAACAAACTGTGGCTAACTGATGGAAACTATCTGAGCTTGTGCTAGATTATTGGTAAGGAACTGTTGAAAAGAGGAGCGTGCTCGTACATATAAAACACGAGTCTGTGGAGATGTCCTATGTAAATGGTTATCCAGTGTATGTTCTTGTGAGTTCGGGAGAATCCAAGATTTTCTTGACTAGGAAATATCAAAACTCAACAAGGAAATAAGGAAAATGTTTTTAGTAATTCAGCGAAACTCCTGATTACTTTGAAATTGAGTAACACTAGAAACCTGAAAAAACATGCGAAGAAAGTGGCCCATCGGTTTCAGGTTTTATTTTTGAAAATAAAGAAGGTCATTCAGGTCGGTGATAATACGTCATCAAGAAGGAGATTGAGATGTTATATTAGTATATGACATCTATAAACATCTTATAGTGCTCTGACTTTTATCTTCCAAGACCAGCAATGTGATCATTACCAGACCATCCAATAAAACAACCTGATGATAATTCCTTGCATCTGTTCAAACTGGTTTTTTGGAAGCCTTTAGTTGGCTGTTATAAGATTTGTTTGAGATTATATTATTATCACATAGCTCTATAAGAGTAGGTTAGCTTCACTGACTGCAGAAAACAGTGACCTCCAATACCATGATATATAGGGTGGAGTTGTTGTACAAAGTTGTGCAGTCTTGAGGGAATAGAAAGCATAGAGTTGAGCTTTTACCAAGGAAATGAGTGAAAACAGAAGAAACTAAAAATAAGAAGAAAAATGATGTAGGAAAATAAATTAAAATAAAAATGTGGCCTTATCCTGTAAAGCCCCAGCAAACAGTATCAGTCTTCCGAGCTTGAAAAAATAAACTTTATCTATGTGAGCCTTCCTTTAGCTCCGATAACTTGCATCTTATTGAACTGGTTGCTCTTGTTGGGAATCAACCTTCAACCACTGGTTATTGAATGAAGGATGGCCTTGATGCGGCTGGTGTCCCTTTCTGTCTTCAGTCCCCATTGGCTTTCTCCTCGGATATGAAGTTGTGGGTTGCTCCTGTATCAACTAGGGCCCTAGCCTGCTGGCTGTTTATGTTCATATTCACGTACATTAGACCCTTAGTGGCCCGCTTGGGACTTGCAGGCTGCTTCTTCACAACATTTAGTAGCCTAAGCGCACTGCATTAATACATGTATTTGTCGTCAGTTGAACTGAGTTTATTGGTTCGTAAACCCAAGGTTCTTTTAGGAATCTTTCCTTATAAATTATAATTGTATATGTAGCAGGTGCAATAAGAGATTACTAATTGAATGCACCTAAAAAATAGATGCATATTAGGTGCCCTGGACAATTAAGTTCAAATTTTTATTTAGAGCAAGCTTTTCATTTCCTAAGGTCTTTCAGCAATATACTTGAGACTTTACGCTTCAGTTAGAGCTGTGTTTTCAAGGTTGTTTCATGCTAGTTTCAGGTAACTTTGTACTCCAATTTTCTCAGCCAACTGTCCTTCCAGGTTGTCATATTCTTGTTTTTCTTTTTGATGTCATAGTGAGCGTATCATGTTGAATATAATCTACATGTCTATAGATAGATGTTGTAAATGAACACTTGCTCTAAAATTTGTCATCTTTTTTCCAGGTTATCAACTCTTCGGAGAAATCAAAAACCAAAGGAGTAAGAAATGGTGATCTTGTTTCCCCCAAGATTGCACAATCTTTCCCACAGCTGGTCAATCATGCTTCCCTCCGGCTTCCAGCCACCAAACCTGATAGTCTGAAGACTTCTCAAGCTGGGAACTTTCTAGTCCTTAACCGAGAGAAGAATGGCTCCTCTCCTACTGCCAAAGATGGTTCTCCTCAAACTATAGCCAACAGAGTTCCATCAGCATCAGCTCCTCAACTGAAGACCACTGTCAACTCAAAGCTGAAAGCAAATGGTGCAGGAGAGAAAAAGCCTCCATTCCAGGCGCAGGACAGAAACAACTTCTTTAATTCCCTCCGCAGGCAAGCTGAGATGAAAAATGGTATATTGAATGATCATCATCATCACCCTGAGCAGAATTGTGGTGTATCATCATCATCCTCATCTTTGTCATCAGTGTCCAATTCAGCGATGAAGTTGGGTGAGAAGATAATGGGAGTTTCAGAAGCTTCTACTACCTGTGAGGTTCCTTCATCAGGTTCTGGTTTAGACTCTTCAGTGGTTGATAATGGCAATGGCAGTTCATATGATGAAGATCCTGAAGCTCTAGTACCTCCCGATGAGGAAGAAAAAGCTTTTTTGGAGTCACTTGGATGGAAAGAAAATGCTGGGGAGGATGCCCTAACAGCTGAGGAGATTGAATCTTTTGTCAAGAAGGTAAAACAAAATTTCATGATTTTTTCCTATGGTTAAGTACAGATACAACCCATGCACTATAGTGGTGTGGCCACTTGTATGCTCTAAAACTTTTTTATTAGCAGCCCTTCACATTCGGACATTATTTTTTTTAATCATTAAGGAAAGGACAATTTAGTCTTTTTATCCTGTCTCATGGGACATCTCAACCTTGACTGGAAAATGGTGTCGTCCCTGAGTTTGAGCAGTGTCAAGTGTTAATAAATAATCAACAAGTGTTAATTGACAAGTGTTTTTAAGTGTTAAAATAAACTAGTTTAGGGATACAAGTTGCTACATCCTCGGTTCCTCATATTGCATGGGTTGTATCTACAAGTAACTATTTTCCTAGCGTTTTATAACCGGGAACGACCCTAAATTAGACTCATTTCACATTACCAGCTTTAATTACCTGAAGATAACCCTTATCTGCTATCATGTCAATGTATAACCACATATGTCCACTTTCAAGTTTTATCGTAAAAATGTGGTGCTTGACAGATTTACCCATTCACGTCTTGTGCCTACAACATTGTAACTGTGTATGGCAGATAGATAAATCTTTCAAATGGTATTTTTTTGGATGGAAAATTGGACTGAAATGAAAGAGAGGGGGTTGGGGGATAGGTGGTTATTTGTTGGCGGAATGACACATGGTGTTATATTCAAACTTGGGTAACTAATGGTACCGTGAAATGGGGCCTGATTTAGAGGTGGTTCCGTTAAAAAAACCCTTTTTTTTCCTATTCTCTACTTTTCTCTGTTTTGAAGAGAAATTCTAACTGAGTTTTTGCACGCAGCATGAGGAGAAACTAGGCCCAGATTTTAAATACAAGGCAGGTCTTCCGGAATCCCTGCAGCGTGGAAGTAGCTCATCTGGATCAAGCTCATCCAGCTCCGAGGCAGAAATGCAGGAGGAGAAACTAGGTACAGATTCTAAATACGAGTCAGGTCTTCCAGAATCCCGACGGGGTGGGAATGACTCATCTGGATCGAGTTCGTCCAGCTCTGAGGCAGAAATGTGATTTTGCTTAATATTGCTCATCATTCTCCTTGTTTACTGATTGCTGAGAAATCTTTACTTTTATGAGGAAGAGATTCTTTGATTTATGGAAGTAGGGTTTGGGAGGAAGAAACTAGTGGGAGGTAGGTTTTGTTTGGTTTTCTTTTGGTGAAGAAGAGGGAGTTGATAGTTTTATTTTTCCCCCCTTTTTCTTTTTCGAGTATTGTTTCCTGAAGTGGGGAAAATTGTGTGAAAATGCAAAATAAGAGTTTCAGCGTTTCAGTTCTCTAGTAGTCCCATTTAGGCTTTGCTCTCGCCTAAAGTTAAGGGGGCTTTCTCTTCTATAGTTTGTGGGTTGATAGAGAATTGCAGTGTTTGTTCTTCTTTTTGTCCACTTTTCCCTTTCTTTTATTTCCCTGAAAATATCACATGTTCTCTTATAATTTGGGTAATATTTTTAGTGTATATAAAGGCGCTTGGTATGATGCTGTCCTCTATAGGGAGACGTGAAATATTTAGAGCTGTGTGTACATGTTATGCATCTCTAAAATAAATATTCAGTTTGATAAAATGCTACTGTGATGTTAGACTATAAAACAATAAGGAGGGGGAGGTATGTGTTTAGAGCATCTCCAGGAGTAATCTTAGGTTTTCCCTGTATTTAAGGAGCAAATCTCTCATCCTAGGAAATAGAGAGTCAAATAAGGAGCAAGTGCTCCAACAATGCTCCCTAAATGGCCCCCTAAATAGTTTTGGATATTTTTCACTTATCTTTTTTTGTAATACATAATTGTAATGGTTATGTACCAACGACTATATTGTAACGGTTATATTTCAACGACTATATCATAACGGCTATATGACCTCTATAAATAATATCATATGCGCTCTAACTTTTCACTCAACTTAAATTGCATTCATTGTTAGCATCATTTTTCCAATATCATCTATGTCTCATAACAACGAAATAGCAACGCTCCTCATGGAAGAAGCTGACGAGGAATATGCAATGTTCTTAGGAATGATCACCGTTGAAGAGGAGCAGGTGGCTAACGAGAGGAGTGCATCGTGCCGTCTTGGTTCCGTTTGAGGCCATGCTGTCATTCAACGCGATAGAGTTCAAGGTCATAATAGACATTATCCTGACTATTTCGCTGAGGAGTCCGTTTATGGTCCATGACTATTTCGAAGGAGGTTTTGAATGCATCGTCCACTTTTCCTCCGAATTGCATCCGCAGTGAAGTTTTTCGTCTGTCCGGTTTTTTAAGAAAATTTATTTTCAGTTGACTCAACTGGCATGACAGATTGATTGGGATTTTCATCCTATAGACCACTATCAGACAATGATCCTTGATTTAGTAAAGAAGTGTAATAATCCATTTGTAAAAAAAATAATACAAATTAATGTCAACACTATAATTAATTTTAAAAAATTTAAAATGAAATGAAAACTAATAAATCAGTTGTAAGTAAAAAAAAATAAGAGAAATAAAATAATTAAGAGATAAACTAATTTACTTACCTTTAAAGAAAAATAGTAGAATGCCAAATGTAAAATAATTATGAGGTGAACTAATTTATCCTATACAAAGATGCAATATATATAGATGAAAGGAGAATAGGGGGCTTGAATACAAATATAGCCGTTGCAAAGAGCCGTTGTAAATATAGGGAGCCACTTTGTTGTCATTGATTTGAAATACCAAATCCTATTCCCTATATTTATTCTCCAACACAGGAAGAATGTTGGATCAATTTTTTCCCCTCCTACCCCCTTAATATTTAGTCTATGACATGAGACAGGGATTCTGTTGTAGATGCTCTTATGAGTTACATTAGGCTGCTTAGCCATCAGCACTCGGTCCCATGACCCTACATCAGATGCTAAGCCCTACCATGCAAGTGCTTACATGATACTACAATCCAAATATGTTTTCTTTTCAGACTACGCCTCTCTCATGCCCCCAAAGGTCCTCCAACATCGTGCCCTGATACATCCCATTCAATCAACTTACCAAAATATGAAATATTCCTTTTCAAGGACCTTTAACAAGCCGAGTCCGTTGCGAACCAGGCTGTGCATGAAAATGCAAGCTGCACGTTCTACATATTTAAAGCCTTTTAGATTTAGGGTATTCTTTATGTATAAACCACCTGACTTCAGCCTCACAAGCAACTTTGGCGAGGGCCCGGCCCAGCCCAAACCCTTGACGCGTGTCCTTGTGAGCACGTACCGTCGGACTCCTAGCTTCCACGAGAAGCCTCTCATTTTTCTGCATCATCCACGCAAACACCATTCATCCTCTGCTGTTGAAATCTTGCCACGTCGGTCAGACATCGGAGTTATTATACGGAGGAGCATGTACCAGCGACTACGATGAAAGGAAAATGATAGAGGCACACTCCTAACCACAGCCTCAACCATACCCCCTCTTTCATTTGTTATAGTGCACCGGGTCCCATATGAGAGCTTTGCTATATGCACCCAGAATATAAGACCAACAGAGGGACATGTGAGACGCCCCCTCCTATTGCATAATGAGCTGGTCATCAGGTGAGTTGTCCTCCTCCTATTACATAGTGAGCTGATCATCATTAGCCTATCCCCTGTTAGTCCCATATTTTAAATCTCTAAAATTTTTTCATAAATAATTATGATTTTCACGATGTTGGATACCAGCGGTCAACAATTTTGACTTTGCTCCCCCATGTCCTCGTCATCCTCGTCCCCGCCACTCAAAATCTCGTGCGGATTCCCTCCGTTAAAATATTACACAGCTCATCCCATTATCGCGCAAAAAAAAAAAAAAAAAAAAAAAAAAAAAAAAAAAAAAAAAAGAAAAGGCTGGAGCTCCACACCTACGTTATCTCCCCCCTAAAAGTACCGACAACATACCGTAACTGTCAAGGAGTAGTATATAGCTTATTATAAAAAAAAGAGGGAGGCGACTCAAATTACGCAACGAACACCCTCAACTTTAAACTATTTGCAAACCGGCCCCCCTTTCTTTCCCGACCGCCGTAAAAGTTTCTAAAAGTACCGCTCCCCCCTGTTCGAGTTCCCTTTTCCCCTTTTCCCTTCCCCCCTTTCGAGCTTTCTGGGATTTGGTTTGATTTGATCGATTCCTTGTTTTGGCGGGAAAGCTCGGGGGATGAAGCGGGTGGTGAGGGCGGGGTC